AAGACTCAGAGAAGTGCCTGGTACAGTCTATCTAGGTTTTCCAGACCCAGCAATGACCTGGGGTGAGGGGAGCCAGCCCTTGACCTTCTGCCATTTGACACCTCAGAAGCTTCACCTGGTTTCCCTGGCTTTGGGGGGTCCTGACACTATTCAGTCATTTCTCTGTGTATAAGGAATGTCAGCTCTTCCTACTTAGACTAAGCCCCTAGTCCTCAGGCCTCTCTGCCCAAAGCATCCTAGGTTCCCCAAGGAGCCCAACACGGGCCAATACCAGACTCATTAATCACTTGAACTCCCAGGCAGGACACGCCTGTTTGTACTGCTTGTTAGTTTCAGGCCAGTATCAAGCTGGTCTTTTGTATGGGTAGAGGTAAAGGCTAGCTCTGCAAGCCTATGCACAGCTGAACATCTTCAATCCTGTTGTGTTACTGTCCCAAACACCCACTCCTAGCTTTGTGACTAAAATGTCAGCAAGGACAGCCTTGCCTATGTGACAATGGGGAAGGCCTGACACTTGGGCCACTCAAGTCTTTGGCTCCTGGGAGTCAAAAACTCCCAAAGTGAAGGGAATTAATTGTAGTGGGTATTATCATGAGTTTGTGCTGTTCAGTGAACATGCACACACACACACACACACACACACACACACACACACACGCAATTTGATTGCCCCTTTGAATCTGGTAGAGAAATGTGGGAGGGTTTTGTGAGCAGATCCCGGGCACCCAGGAAGGCAAAATGTTTCTTGGCATGAATGTGAGGCCTCTCTGAATGTGACTGCAGTGGAATTCAAAATTCTATTGGCTTCTTTTATTTAATCCTGGCAGGAACACATTCTGCAGGATTATAACAAAAATACATAGGAAAAAATAATTCTACATGCCCATGTTTACTTTCCCAGAGACTTCCCAGAGATACACTGAAAGCACAGAACAAAGACCAGAACCAAATAGAACGATGGTGCTAGCATGTCACACCATGGGTGCCTGAATTGTTAGAGAGGCCCAGGCTGCATTCCTGATCTTCTTGAAGTTTGTCTTTGCCTAGGCTGTTCTTTCCACACAGTCTGGTACGCCCTTGCACATGTAGGGACTCAGTGAATATTTGAATGAATGCAAATTTTTAAGCACAGTGAAAGTTCACAATTCAAACCATGAAATTGGACTACTCATTGTGAACCAGGCATGGTAGTATACTACTTTAATCCCAGCACTCTGGGAGGTAGAGCCAAAAAGCCAAAACTCTTGCGAATGGGCATAGGCCCACCCCATTTTTGGAGCTGATGAAATCTTCTAGAGGTAGATAGTAGTGTTTTATGATATGTGAAGTATATTTCAATTTTTTAGAAAGGAAGTAAGTGGAAAGCTTATAGATTCCTAGGTCTTCCACTGGTGATTCTGGTCTAGAAAAGGTCTAAGGATCTGCTTTTTGAAAAGGCTTCCTGGGTGACATGGAATGACTGTTACAGGCTGACAGTTGAAAACAACTAAATGCAGGTTTCTGAGGTGGGGCCCAAGATTCTACAGGTTCTATAAAATCCTAGTAATATTGGAGCTACTGGTGAGTGTACCACCATACTCTCAATGTCAAGGCTCAAGGGCGCAGAGGAGACTAGGGGGCTCCCAAACTCCATCCATCTTGGCCCTTTCTTCCACTAGATGGCACTGTCAAAGACCAACATCACATCCTCAGGCTATAGAGTGTTAAAGCAGCCTCAAGTAGGGCCTCCCAGATTCAGATTGCTTCCCTGGGGCAGTTGCCCTGGGGGAGGCAGGCAGGCAGCTCAGGGCCCTCAAAACTGATCTTACCAGATGGGACCAGCATCTCACAGCCTCAGAGCCACGGTGTGATGGACCCCCTGGCTGAGGACCCCAACACCCATATACTGTCTCTCTTGTCCACCTGCTTCTCTGGTCTCTCATCTGCCATGGAGAGGGCCCAGCCCAGCGCCTGGCAGAAGCCATGGGACTGGAGCTGCATCCCTGGAGATTTCCATGGCTGCCAAACAGTGCTGGGTTGGCTAGATACCTGGAGGAGAAGCCCCAGGTGAGCTCGAGGATGCTTTCAGGTAGCCACGCCTTTAGAGAGGCTGGCTCCAAGCACAACAGCCTTTCCTTCTCCTTCTGCTCTGTTCTTCCTATAAAACTGTGAGCACACTCTGGTGGGACTGACAGTTGGTAGCTGCTCTATCACTCTTAGGGACTCTAAAATTCCCAGGGTGAAATGCCCATTGGTGTTTGTAGGGGCATGAGGGGTGGGAGGGCCTAGGGGAGCTCTGTCCAGCCTGCTTACCTCATCAGACCCACAAATGGTCCCAAGTAGTATTCAGAGATCTGTAGCATAGCTTAGATTAATAATAGCACTGTTGGGCCAGCGAGTTGACTCAATGAGTGAGGGTGCCTGTTGCCAAGTCTGACGACCTGAGTTCAGTTCCTTAGAACCACACGGTGGAATGAGAGGGCCTATTTCCTCAAGTTGTTCTCTGACCTACACACACACACACACACACACACACACACACACAGACACACACACACAATATCCCCGCCACAAGTAAATAAATAAATAAACATAATTAAAAAAACAAAAAAAAACAACCAACAAACAAAAACCAGCTAGGAGTGCTGGCGCACGCCTTTAGTCCCAACAGCTGGGAGGCAGAGGCAGGCAGGTCTCTGTGAGTTCAAGGCCAAACTGGTCTACATAGTGAGTTCCAGGTCAGCTGGGGCTGCAGGGAGACCCTCTCTCACAAAGACAAAACAAAACAAAAAACCCCACCAAAGCCCCTTAACAAAAACAATGTCACTGCCAGCATGCACGCCCTCATCCATGTCACCAGCAGTGATAGGAAGGGCTTCCCAGGCCCACACAGTACGATGTGGATGCCTCTGCATTGGTAACCAATACCACCACTCTGAGACCCTGTCTTTGGGACCCTGTCTCTGAAACCAAGAGAGTGGGCCAGTGAGTTGGCTCAGTAGGTAAAGGCACTTGCTGCTAAACTGGATCACCCGAGTTCAATCCCCAAGACCCAAGTGGTGGAAGGAGAAAATGGACTCCCGCAGGTTGTTCGCTGATGGCCACATGCTTCATCCCCATTAAATAAACATATCAGAACAATGAAATACAGAGGAGAAGGGCTGGTAGCCCGCCTCAGGCACTGCCTGAACTTGGACCCCCAAACTGGTTCGGCTCCCTTGATCCCACAGCATCACTCCAAAAGCTCTGTGTGTGAACAGGCCGGAGCTTTTTTAGGCTGTGGTTTATATAACTGAATGCTAACCAGAGTTCTTTGAGAAGCTCTGAAACTGCAAACATTTTGTCAACACCTAGTTCAGAAGCAAGTGCCACCTCCCTCGAAAGATGCCCACATGAGAAAACTAGAGGCCTCTTTGCCGGGAAATGGCTTTTCCTTGGCTGAGCCCCTGCAACCTTCTAGAAGGTCTCTGCAAGGGGTGGTGGTGGGTGGGGACGTTTGGAACCTCTGAAGTCAGGAGAATGCCGAGAGCATCATTTCTTCTAGAATCCTACTGTTTGACTTCAAGGTTGTTTTTTCTCCTGAAGACACAGAGGGTATTTGAGGGCTTCTCAAACTTCCCTGCACCCCAAGAGCCCCCTAGGGATCTTGTTAAAATGCAGGAGCTGACTCAGCAGGTCTAGGATGGACATCAAGGATCTATTTTTTTAACCAACTGCAGGTGGTGATTGTGCTGCGTGTCCTAAAAGCAGTGTGTGGGGACTCAGTACCACCTTCACCCCGCATTAGGATGAGCTAGGAGGACGTAGCACCTGTATATACTTGAGGGTGGGTCCCCAGATAGTTGCAACAGAGATTAATCACAAAGGATATGAATGCACCAGAATCTTCACAGCTGCTCTGCGGATGGGGTGGAAGGGGCTGAGGACGTACAAGGCGTTGGTGGCACTGAACCGGAAGATGGTCTTGCCCTTATTCAGCACAATGAAGGTCTGTGGATAGAGTGATATGTTAAGTCAGGGGCAACAGTTATTGTGTCAGAGCCCTAGGGCCTTGGCTGGGGGGTGGAGGAGGAGTGAATGAGTTGGGGGCAGGTTTTGTGGACCCTGCTGCCTCATCTGTGGGTGAAACTGGGAATGGAGGTGGAATCTGAGTAATGCCAGGTTGATTAAAATTTGGTTTTAGGTTACAGTCTCAGGGCTGGAGAGATGGCTCAGTGGTTAAAAGTACTTGCTGCTCTTCCAGAGGACCAGAGTTCAGTTCCCAGCATTCACACTGGGCAGCTCACAACTGCCTATAACTCCAGCTCTAGAGGATTCAATGTCTTCTTCTGGCCTCCATGGGCATACACATGCACATGTTCAGATACACACAGAGAGATATACACATATATAAAACATTTTTTAATAAAAAAAAGAATTATAGTCTCAATAAGAAGGGCCCTTTCCACTAGGTGTGGTAGCACATGCCTGTAATCCTAGTCCCTGAGAGGCTGAGGGAGGAAGGCCTCAAGTTCCAGGCCAGCTGCTGCCAGAGGCCTGGAAGGCCTCACAGGGGTGCCTCTGCCTTCCCGTCTTCCCTTCTCCCACCCTGCATAACACTTTGTGAGAGAATCCATCTCAGAGTTGGGTCAGTAGGGAAGACTTATGGGTGAGGTAGAGGCAAGAGGAAGCCAGAGTCATTTGAGCTTTCCCTGGGATCCTGTCTGCTTGAGGTCAGGCAGATGTCAGCTTCTTACCCAGTGACAACTTAGTGCTTCCCTCTTGGGGATCAAGAAGAGTCCAAGGTAACTGGGCTTTGAGGGGCTCCCTTGGCATCTAGAAGATACTTCTGGGGCGTAATGTGGCATGGGAGCAGCAAGTGCTACAGGCTGGGCATCAGGTGGGAGTTGAACTGAAGGCAGCACACGTGCCAGGGGCCCAGCAGGCACAGCTCTGGAATTTCCGGTTGACGTGGGCTGAGTGGGTAGAACAAAATTCTATCTCATCTAGGCTAGAGGGACAAGGTGAGCAGATAGATTAGAACCAAATTTCTACTGGGATGTTTTCCCTTGGCCTGTGGGGCTGCAAGCAGTGTGGCCTGGGTCAGTAAAGAGAAACAGGCTAGAGGCCAGGACACTCAGAGAACTGCTGTCCAAGAATTCCATGTTTACATAAAGACAAAAAAAAACTGGTATCTCATCGGGCACACACCTTTAATCCCAGCACTTGGGAGGCAGAGGCAGGAGGATCTCTGGGAGTTTAAGGCCAGCCTGGTCTACATAGCGAGTTCCAGGACAGCTGGGGCTACAGGGTGATCCTGTCTCAAAAAGACAAAAACAAAACAAATAAACAACAACAAAAAAACTGGTGTCTTTAGGTCCTCCTAGACTTAATACTGGACCCTCAAAGCCCAACCCAGCCTGGACTCCATCTTCAGTCAGGTTCACCTGCTGTGCCCAATGCTGATCTCATATGACTCCAACCTAATCACCACCCATCCTCTCACCAGGACCTTACTTATTTCAGTCATGTCCTTAACCCCAATCTTCCTTGGCTCTGACCATCATGGCCTAGGCCTGCCTACCCATTCACCCAATTCTAACTTCTGGCCTAATAACTTGGACACACGTGATCTTGACCCTACTCTAGTCACTTGAATCAGGAGGATTTTTCTGGATGCCTCAGGGTAGGGCTAGATTCAAGGTCTCTTCTTCTTCCTGTTTATATAGACTGAGTCTGGGGATACCGCTTTATACACACATCTGCTTGTGCATGTACCTATGCATACAGGTGAGTTTCCTAAACATCGTCTCAAACCTGTTACACCCTTAGGTGTTTGGCAACAGATACTGACACCCCCCCTACACCCCCCCCACACACATTGACTACACTTGCCCTGCTGGCCCCACAGGTGCTTCTCAGCCCTCAGTTACTGTGGAGCTAACCACAGTAACACCAATGTCCACCTGCATCCCTGGCACCTGGCCTTCTCGGAAAGGCCCTCCTCCAAATTCCAGTCTACCCTCCTCCTGCAAATGAAGCCTGGAAGTGTGGGCAATGAGGTGTGGAGCCCATGCCAATGCAGGAGCTGTGAGTGCCTGTGACCTTGCTGGGTATAAGATAGTGACTCATGGTTTGATGAGGCCAGGGGAGGGCATCCACAGTGGGAGCTTACCTCCTGGTAGAAGCCTGAGTCACCCCACTCTAGTGGGCAAATGCCACTCCCTCTTTGCCCCAGGAGCTGCAAGGGCAGAACAAGTGCCCCAGCAGTCACTGCCTCTTCACCCTTCTCAGACTTCTCAAAGGCCTTTGTGGTCCATGGCAGGTTACATGCTCCAGGCTACTACTGTGGCCAAGCTTGAGCTAAGTGACTCTGCTAATGACACCTGGCTAGTTCTGAGCTGCTAGGGGTGGGGGGACATACTGCCCCTAATTAGAAGAGGGGACCACACAATGTGCCCTGAGGCCTCCAGTGGGTTCAGGGCAGAACTCAGGGCTTCATTCCAATGTGCCCACACACCTGGGGACAAGAAGGTGTCCCCTGGAGGTGTATACCAAACACTTTGACAAGGAGGCAAGATTTCAGTGGTCCTCACAGCCCCAAGTTAGTAGCTTCTTCCTACATGATTTACACCTTTACTCCAGAACTCCAAAATTAAGGTGACTGGAAAAACAGATCACCAGTGAGTCACTGCCTCAAAGCTCAGGGAAGCCCACCTCATATGGAGCCCCACACAGAAGCAGGGCCCCACCTGTCTGCTGCCTTACTGGGAGCTGCCTGGAAGGGTGGGGGAGGGTCCAGGGAGGGTGGCCATCACCTTCTGGGTGCTATAGAACGGGTCCAGGTCTTCCAGAGGCTCCCCAATGAGCTCTCGGGGTGGATTGCCATAGAGATCCGGCAGCTTTTTGGAGGCCTGCAGGTCCAGCTGGGGCCGGGGAGCCTCTTCCTCTGGCAGGCCCTCACGACTCTCCTGTGAGGTGGCCGAACCTCTGGCTTGCTTTTCTGCCATACGCTTCTCGATGGCTGCCAGGGACTCCCGAGTGAACCTACGGAAGCTGCTGGTGCCCCGAGGTAACAGGAAGTTTGCCATCTTCTCATCCTGCTTCTGGGGCACAGGCTCTCCTCAGGCTGCCTGGGGGAAAGCTGGAAGACACAGACACGGTGTGACCAGATGCCACAGCCAGGGGGCAGGGTGGCCAGCCCTGCCAAAAGACACAATTTGCAAAGATGTTCAGGACCCCCGGTTGCCAGTCACTGCACAGGTACAGGTGACTGACCGCAGCCAGGGTAAACTCACTCTCAGGGTTCTGGTGTGTACATGAAAACTGGCAGGGAGGCTGCCCTCTGCTTCTGTCCTAATGTGTGTCTGAATGTTAGAGGACAAGAGCGAGTGTATCATTGACATACCTTCATCCTGTTCATTTAACACTTTAAAAACAGTCCTTATTTGAGACCCTTCCATAGCTGACTCCCCTGGGTTGAGGAAGGACACGCCAAGCAGTGATGGGGCCTGTCATCCATTTTATCCCAGATCCTTGACGGAATGGGTCCTTCACTAATGAACAGTGATGCTGCGTAGAGGTGAGGAGTCAGCACTAGATGGGACCGGGTCCTACCTCTCCTCTCCAGGGAATGTTCCTAGCCTGAGTGGTGCCCAGTCCCCACAGCACCATGTGCTTGCATGGGAGGATGGAGTAGATCACACCAGACCATAGGAGGCAGCAATTGAGGGTACATCTGTGTTTGCCATAGGGGACTCAGGAAAACACTGTGGGTGTTCAGAAACAGCTGGGTAAAAACATTGAGGGTACCATCCAGATGTTGATACTCCAGTGCACACAGCTGTGGCAGAGCTCCTGCTGAGGATCTCACAGGAACACCCTCCACCCCCATGCAGAGTCATCCCCAACTAGTCTGATTCCAAAGGGAAGTGGGGCAGGTACACCTCTGGCTCCTCACACTGCTCCTCTCTCTCCTCCCCAAAAGTGGACAGCAGCACCGGAAGACAGTGACCACTACTGACTAGGACATCCAGCAGGCACATGTGTGTGATGTCAAACCGGGAGAATGTGGCCCTTGGTGGCCTCAAAGGATCCAGAACCTGGTCAGAACACACTATGACAGCAAGGCAGAAGAATGCATTCTGACTCCTCACCAAAACAGGATGTGGTCAGAGGGCTCCTGACTGTGACACCAAGTCAGGAGGCTGCGCGGCTAATTACCACATCAAACCCAGGAATGGCTGGGCACCGGCTCAAGAGGGCAGAGTGGACACCTGCTTGAGATCTCTGCCAGGCACAGAATCCTTTCCTGTCACCCAGGGGCTTTGCCCTGATCTCCTACGGAGCATGTCATCAATGACCCCCAGAAACGGTTGTGGCACCCATCCCAGCACACGGTCAGCAAGGACCCAGACTTGAGGACTCCTGAGCACCATGGTTTATAGGCACCCAGCCAGGTAGCAGATAAACAGTGAGCAAACATGACACAGCCCAGCCATAAAGGGGCACCTCTAGGGCCAGAGAGATTGTTTAGCAGATAAAGGGGCAGGGGCTTGCTGTGAAGCCTAAAGACCTGAGTCAATCTCCCTCATCCCACATGATTGGTGGGAGGAGAGAGCTGATTCCAAGTGGTTGTTCTCTGACCTCTACACATGTACTGTGGCAAACATACACACTATATAAATCAATACATAAACAAATGTAATAAAATTAAAAAAAATAAAAAGGGCACATCTAAGGTTTGGAGCGACAGCTCATTCGGTAAAGTGCTTGCCAATGGCAAGAATGAGACTCTAACTCTAGTATCCTCATGAAAAGCCAGTGAGGTAGTGCATATCTGTAATCCTAGTACTGGAGAGGCAGAGACAGGTGGATCCCTGGTGCTTGCAGGCCAGCCAGCATAGCCCCAGCTCTCAATGAGAAACCTTGTCTCAAAAAACAAGCTGGACAGCTCCTAAGGAATGACACCCAAGGTTGACCTTTGGTCTCCATGTATTTGCACATACATGCCTGTGTACCTGTACCCACACATGTACCTGCACATAAAGGCATGCACATGCAACACACACACACACACACACACACACACACACACACCCTGAAATCCAGGGGAATTTCAGCATGGAATACGTGCAGCAAACAGGGACAGACATCTCCCTTTCCAGCCACCCCATCTTCTGCATCCTTTTCCTGTTTGATTCAAGTGAAGGTAAAGGGGCATCTTTGTTAAAAATAGCAGGTAAGAGGTAGGTTCCCATTTCATAAAAGCAATTTCTTTGTCTAGCTTCCATCTTTGAGTGAGCAGAAAGACATCTGTAACTCCTGTCACTAAACATGAATGGTGATTTTTCTTCCGTCTAGCTGGGGAGAATTTGGGTCATTTTAAACTTTGTTTGCACTTTCCCTCATTGCTTGGATTTGCTATGGTGAGCTTGCAAAAATCATAAAGTCATTACTCATTTTATGTAAGCAACAAAGAGCCCCACCCGGAGGACAGCAGGGCAACCCTCTCCACAATGAGCAATTGCTAGTTCCATAAATTGGGAAGCCACTCTTAGCTTGGGATTATTTACTAAAAATAGTGTTCTCTGGCTCACTGTATCCATCTGTGTCCACACGCTTGCAAGGGTTCTGGAGACACGTGTATGCCCAGGGACATGCACACACTGGCAAAAGCGTGTGTGTGCAAGTCTGCACCTGCACATACATCTGTCCTAGTAAAGATGTGTTTGCAATTTTTATTGAAATAAAGGATTCGTGCGGATAGATGCTAGTGAGCATACATACAGGTAGGTGATTTTCCACAAACCAAACATTTGGGGTAACCAGCACCCAGATGGAAAAATATCATTCCCAGCCTCTCTCTCTCTCTCTCTCTCTCTCTCTCTCTCTCTCTCTCTCTC